GAACGAGATAAAAGCTCGGACAGATGAGAGGCGGCCAATGGCGAGGATCTCCCCCACCACTGGTTCAGCGCAGCATCCTATGATTCGTAGGCGGCTCGGAGTCGGCGGAAGTGCGCATGTACGCCCTCGATGGACTGACTGACACTGCTCCCTTTTCCACGGCCCTCTGCGACACACCGGGCTCTCCCAGGGGGTGCATTGCGGATGTAGGGCGTGGCGGCTGAGCCCTTCGGAGCCCGGCAACCCTTGCGCTGCTCGCGTACGAAAATAGCACCGGGAGAGAATTTCATAGTGGAGGATCATTTCGGTGAACCCGAGGATTCTAGAACGCGAGGAGTTGCGAGGATTGATTGGTCGTGGGAAATTATCGTGTGAGACGCGCAGTGAGCGAAGGTCGGGGGATTGAAGAATTGCAATGATCGTTGGAGGATTGGGAAATTAAAATCATTGGAAACTTGGAAGCTTATGGTCGTTACAGTTGAAAAATGTGGAGTCGCGAGGTTGGATTGGTAGAATTAATTGGTTGTGGGAAATTATTCTGTGAGAAGTGAGCGAAGATTGGGGAATTGAGGAATTGTAATGATTACGAGACTGAGATTATGATCGTCGGGGGATTAGGAAATTGGGATTATTGGAAACTTGGAAGCTTATGGTCGTTACAGTTGAAAAATGTGGAGTCGCGAGGTTGGGTTGATGGAATTGATTGGTTGTGGGAAATTATTCTGTGAGAAGTGAGCGAAGGTTGGGGAATTGAGGAATTGTAGTAGCTGGGAAGTTAAGGGATTGTAATGATTGCAAGATTGAGAGATTGTAATCGTTGGATTAGGAAGTTGAAATCATTGGAAACTTAAAAGCTTATAATCGTTAAATAATCGAAGATGAAGTAACACTTTTAGTCGAGTTAGATACGATGATCGTGATTTCTAAGAAGCTCTCCATCTTCCGCGTAATCATTTCAAACGATCACAATCTAAGAAACATCGTCGATTCTTCTCTGAACTGTTCTATCAACGCGTTAGCCGTCGAACGATCATTTTCAGTGGAAAGAACGACATCCGGTCGCGAGACAGAATTTTTCAAATCGATTCATTGCGTTCGATCTCTCCGGGGCCGGTTGACCGGTTGAAAGCGCAATTTCCGCGGAGAGGAAAAAATAGAAATCGCAGTTTTCGTGGTTCACGGAGCCTCGTAACGATCGCCCGTCCCCCCTGTGATCGGCGATCGTTAGAAATGGAAAGCACCTGGATTTCCACCTGCCGCGACACACGAGAGTCCGTTCCGAATTTCACCGGGTTTCATGCGGCGACCGATATATTCCTCGAGCGCCGGCCGAAGGAATTTTCGAGGCGAAATTTCACGAAACACTGATAAACGGCTACCCGCGATCGCAGATAACCGATTTTTGTTCGGATCTCCGACGAGTGATAAAACGCTGACTGTTCATCGCGTGACGAAATTGCCGTCGTGACACAGAGGACACGGGAAGAGGAAGTTGACAAAATTGATTTATCAAAAGTATCCAACGACGGTCGATAGTGTTTCAAAAAATCGACTTTCTGAATAGAAAATGTCTCAATTGTGCCAGACAATATACTTGAATCACAAGATGGCGTTTAATTTTCAAGCTTTAGATTTTTTAAATTTAACAGTTTCAATTCTACCATTGTCTATTTCAAAATGAATATTCATCATCTCCAGAATCGTGTTATATTAATATAAAATATTACACAAAGTTCAATTTCATGTTACTTAATCAAAGATTAGTTCAACTAAGGGCTAATTACAGTTCACTGAATCTTCCGTACAATTAAGAACGAACAATTTCCGATTTCGAAATCGACCGAAGATCTCTTTAACCGCAGAGCGTAAACGGACTCGGTAACCGATTGAAACGCGAAAAAAACCTGTCGCGCGAGGGAAAACAGGTCGCAGAGCCATAAATCGCTCGTGTCGAATTAATATCCCACGTTTGACGCGCAATCGCTCGGGCTAAACGCGAACGCAAACCGCAAGCTAAGTTGACCCGCTCGAAAACCCGTTTGGCCCGCGTGATTTACGCGCATGAATAAAGTCACCTGCCGGCAGGTAGGTGCGTTTGTCACAGAAGCCACGCGGGGGAACAGGTTCATTCGAGACCGCTCGTTCGCACCTGTTCCTCGTAACTCCGGCAACTCACCACCAAGGAACAAACTCGTCCGCTAAACGATTCTCGCCGATCTCAGCTGATCGCCTTACGCTGAACTCGGCATTTAACGGTTGAATCACTCACCGGTGAAATCTGTGAAACAAAAGGAGAACGGCGCAGCGAATCGATTGATAAAATTCCCCTGAAATACAAATGCAAATCAAATCGAACGTAAAGAAGCTTGTTCCAAACAAACATTTAATACCAATCAGCCACATTAACGATAAAATCTTTAAAAATCCGAAATTTCGAATTAACCGATTCTCCCGATAACAGACTCAATTAATGTCTAATAATAAGTATACTGATCTTGTCAAATGATGCATAACATCGTGATTCAATTGAAAACTCACGTCGTTTGTCTTTGACACTAGAACTAGAGCATCTAATAAAAATTGTAACAATTTTCAGTTTATTTGAGTATTCGAAGTATCCAAGTGAAACTAAATTCGAAATCATTTCCAGTATTCAATGAATATAAAGTATCAACCAATGCGACAGCAGGAAGCAGATTTCAAGAGAAATCGAACAAGCACGAACTCGATCGCTTTGAATTCGAATTTAATGTTATTCTTTTATCAATTATTACACTCTAAAGCAAAGATTGATATAGAGTACGCCTCTAACTCTGTTCTGTTCCTTAACGAATTATTAATAACGAAGTCGCATCGATCGTAGCTGAGAAATGAATCGCAAGGCAAGGGGTTGAATCGATAACTCTCTCCCAGAAGACACTTCGCTCCGCGGAACGCGACTCCGCAGGAAATTAGGCAAATTATTGAACCCGTTTATCTCGCGGATCTTCGGTGTATATCTTACGCGCGCATAAATCGTCCATGAAGCCTACTTACTTTTATCGATCGCGTTGTTGTTCGCGAGCGGACGAGGATCGCCGCGTTATCGCCGCTAATCGGACTCCCTTTTTTTCCTGCTCCGGCCGTGTATTTTCGTTCCCGTATCAGTCTCGGAAGTCAGCCGGCTCCAGTGTCGTCTCCAGGATCCTTGGGGACGTTTCCAGACGCGTGTAAATAGGAGCGGATTGCGGTCAGGCGTGCGTCGCGCGAGGCCGCTGATAAGTGTCATTGTCCCAGAGCCGGCGGCGTTCTTTTGCGGTCGTCTATCAGCTTCCGGAATACGGCGGATCTCCGTGACACGATCGTTTAAATATCAAATTTACAAACAATACGCCATTATTGTCGCAAGATGGAAAACGGTTCTCGCCTGGAAAACGGGCCTGGAAACGCTGACGCCATTGGCAGTTCGCGTTCGTCGGTCGACTGTTTCGTGGAAAGTTGATAATGAAGTTTTAACGAAATAACAAATCTATATGTATTCGTATTTTTCTCCTTTCCTTGAATTTGCCGTAGATAATTGTGAATTATTAATAAGTATCTGTTCATTGATAAATTCCTACAAATAAACCACTTTGACCTTTCTTTTTGGCTGACAGACTTTTGTTTCTTTTTAGTTTGAGTTTACCTTAAGGTGGTCACAACAGTCAACAGTGGCCATTAATATTTGGATACATTCCTTATTAATTAATACTGATATAATAGATTATCTCTTTGCATTCGAGGAAGTTTATTCAAATAAACTTTTGTATTTATCATTTAACTTTATATACTGCATCAATACGTGGAATATTGAAAGGAAATAGCTTTCCCTAATTTATGTATGATTTCTTGATAAATTCATTTTAGAAAATCTTGTCTACGTCTAATTCGACGTTACAATATTATTAACTCAAGTATCTTGAATATCACGAGTGTTTTCAATTTAGAAGCGTCGGTCATCACTAACATGGCGCTTAACGTGGTAATGATTTACCAAGAGATGTAAAAATTGCTGGTTCATCTTATCCTCTATTTCGCTATGTAACAATTGATAACGGAGAAATATTATATTATTCTGAGAACAAAAGAATGAAGTGACATTTCAGTTTTGTAACTTCCATTCGAGAAGTTCCGATATTGGTTATTAAAGGGTTAAATTAATGTTACGCGAGTTCTGGAATTCTAAAATGAGATATATTGTTGATAAGCTTACAGCTTCTCAGTTTCATTGAAAATGGGTTTCGATTGAGTCTCGATAAGTGTTCTCGTACGTTGAAGATACTATCATTAATGTCAATTCTAATCGCCTCTTTTCTGTTTCAGTTACACTTAAGAGCGGACACGACCACGGACTCAACGAGGCTCAAGCTGATGTAGCATCGCCGCCATCTAGCGTAAGTTATTTTTTAATCTCATTATCGTCGTCATTAATCTTTCAAATGGAATACCTTAGAATCGGAATTTCGATGAAACTACAAATCAATGGACACAGTTACGGTGTGCTGGACATTTCTTTAATCCCTGTATTACAATCATAGGTGCAATGAAAGTGTACAATATAGTTTGTTGACAATATTCGGTACGTCCTCCCCGTCCAATTTTATCCGAAGAGAGCTGTGTAGCAACAGCAGGCTTCAAGGATCAATAGTTTGAACACTGATAAGCTGATAGCAGTGGCGTGCCTCAAAGTCATTGAACTCGTCTTTGAACTTGGGTGGGATCGATATCCTTAAAGAAAAACCTTTACAAAAATCCCAGTAACCTCTATTCCCATTACACCTTCTTCCAGCACTCTCCGTCACTTTTCATTTCTAAACAGATCGATCGAATTGAAACTAATACAAACCCTTTACTACGTTATCCGAAATCTTCGTTTGAACGTGGTCCGAGCTTCCATTCGCTAAATACGTATATCAAATACATGTAATTAGAATAACATATTATAATATATAATACACTATATCACAACTAATTCGCAACAAACATACCTCGCATTAACCCTTGCACTCGGAAGTTTCTCACTAGAAATGTTTCACATTTTTTGACATTTTTACATTGAGGAACAAAGCTACTTTATTCCAATATTTCTCAAATTGCATTATACTAAGTATAATATTAAATATCAAATTTTATAGTTTTACTGCGTCAAATCAGAGTCGCCTCACGAGTAAAGGGTTAACCCTTAGCACACCAGGTTGTTTTGTAATCTACCAGCAACTGCAACTAATTTTTATAGTATTCCTAGCGAAAATGAGAAATGCAACATTTCTTCGATCCTTTACTTTCCTTAGTACAAAATTCGGATGTGTGGAAAATTGAATAATTTTAGAGCAGTTTCTTTAAGATTCATTCAAATATTTAATATTATAACTGGTGCAATATTTGAGCCTAGAGAGTTCAAAGGGTTAAATAAGGGTTGAATTCTGACGTAACACTAAAACTACCGAGCAGTTAAATCGACTTTCTGAGTTTCTTCTATAGAAACTCCAAGAATGCATATATCGAGACATCAATCGATTTACAACTCAATTTCCGTATTGGTAAATTAATTTCTTCAACAATTTCTTAGAGAAACATCTGTTATCTTTTTAATAACTGCAAGAAAAAAGCATCGAGAATGGGTCATTTTGATCCGTCTGGTAGTTTTAGTGTAACTTTCCCCATAGATACGTATACACGGTATAAAGCGAATCGAGAACCTTGATCGAACAAATGTATCATTACCAAAAGACCAATCGAACCAAAGGGTTAAATAATTCGACCATAAACCGTCCCGTAATCATTCTAACGACTACCCGTATCTGTTACAGGTTGAGTTAACAGAGAACACGCATCCCTGCCCGGCGTGTCCTACGGTCCTGCAGAGCTCCAGGGACCTGACGAACCACCTGCGCGGCCACAACTCGCCCCGCAGCACGGACTGCAGCGGCGAAGAGGACCACTGCTGCGGCGTGTGCAACAAGGTGCTGAGCTCGGCAAGTTCGCTCGACAGGCACGTGCTGGTACACTCTGGCGAGCGGCCGTTTAAATGTAAATACTGCGACATGGCGTTCACGACGAACGGCAACATGAACCGGCACCTGAGGACCGCGCACCGGTCCACCTCGCCGCAGAGCTACACGGACTCCGAGAGCAGCAACACAGACTCGGAGAGGCCACCGAAGAGGCGGCACATCGAAGAGTTCAACAACAACGAGGTCGCGAAAGGGAACTCCCCGGACTACATCGACCGCCAAGAGAAGCCCGGCAACCTGAAGCGCAAGAGCTCGGACTGCCTGGCCGACAGCGACGGCCACAAGAGGCACAAGATCCTCTTGAACAACTCGCGCGCTGAGATCAGAGCCAGGCCGGACGAAAACCAGAACGCGTACAACTGCCAGGTATGCGGCAGGCAGGATTTCGCGACCAGCGCGCTCCTCGAGGCGCACCTGGAGCGCTGCCACCCCGAGTTCCCGGCGAAATGCGAGTCCTGCAACCTGTCCTTCAAGAACCACCGGGTGCTGAACCTGCACAGGTTCATGATCCACTTCGCGGACCACTCGACCGGGAACACCGCGAGGAACCTGCGCAACTCGGTGGTCGGGTTCAACGATCTGACGTTCGTCGACTTCTCGTCGGACAAGTTCCCGGCGATCGCGAGGGCGGTCTGCGAGCAATCCCTCCACCGTCCGGCGTCCGGGGAGGTAGCCAAGTTCCAGTGCTCCAAGTGTCTGCGAGCGTTCCCGTGCAGATCGGCGTTGGACTCGCACGAGATCGACTGCGGCACCAACATCGCGCAGACTAGGGTGACCGACGACAGCCAGTCGAGGAGGGACGACTTCTTCGCTGGCCTCGACCTGCAGAACAAGTCCGCGCTGACGGAGGCGAAAGAGGGCAAGGACCTGGCCGACATTCAGAGCATCATCTCGGTCACGTCCGGCCCGATCCTGCAGAACTTCCCCAGGTCGGACGCGAGCACGCCCGAGAGCGCCATCAAGTTCAGCCAGAGGGCGAGCTCCTCGGGATCGTCGGGCACCGCGTCCTCCGAGTATCACGAGGAGGAAGCCCAAGACGCGTTCGCCGCGGAGTTCCGCAAGATGAAGCTGAAGGGCGAGTTCCCGTGTCGGCTGTGCACCGCGATATTCCCGAACCTGCGGGCGCTGAAGGGGCACAACAGGGCGCACATGGGCGTCGCCCCCGGGATGCCGTATCCCTGCAACATGTGTCCGTACACGAGCACGGACAAGAACACGCTGGTGAGACACCTGAGGTCGCACAACGGGGACCGTCCGTACGAGTGCTCGCTGTGCAAGTACGCGTTCACCACGAAGGCGAACTGCGAGCGGCACGTTCGGAACAGGCACGGCAAGCTGACCAGGGAGGACATCAAGAGCGTGCTGATCTACCACCCGAACGAGGACTCGACGGCCGAGAGCGTGGAGAGGAGTTCGTCGCGGGTGACGAAAGACGACGCGAGGAAGACCCTGGTCTACCCGGCCGACCGCGACGAGTTGCAGCACCAGGCGCAGGTGCACTACCCCTCGGCGCCGATGGAGGGCCGCGGGGAGATCAGAATAATCGAGGAGGCGAAGCTCCACGGCGCGTTGTCCATGTGCTACGAGGCGGGCGACGCGTTCGGGAGACCCGGCCAGGCGATGGAGCTGGCGCAGCGGAGCGCGGACGACGGGAAGTCCGCGACGGACGCCAGGCTGGACTACGCGAAGATAGAGGAGGACGTAGAGTCCAGGTCGTCGGAGGGTAGCGTGTCTCTAGTCAATGATGCCAAATCAGACTCGCACCAAAGAATTCAGGCTAGTCCGATGAACCTGAAGAAGAGTTCAGCGTCCGAGGGGGCCGGTGAGGACGGGCCCCTGGACTTGTCGATGGACGTCCTGGACCTTAGCAAGAAGTCCAAGGAGAAGGAGGACGGTGAGTACCTAGCCGGCCAGGAGCAGTACGGGAAGAGCCAGAAGGACCTGTACAGCGCCACCAGCCAGCTGTTGCTCACCGAGGCTCTGTTAAAGGCTGGACAGAGCAGCTCCCAGCCCACGTCGCTGGAGGCGTTGTACGCCAACGCCCACTTGATCTACAGGAACTTCGGGTCGTTCCCTGGCGGCGTCGGGGCTGGGATACTGCCGCCATACTTGTTCAATCCCCACATGTTTGGACAAGATTTCTCGATGAAGGACAGGCTCCAGAAGGAGCTGGTCAGGGGTCTGCAGCTGACCAGCGGGGGCACCCTCGTGGAGCCGCCGATCAGCGCCGGCGGGTTCAACGCGTACCCGCACGGCAGAGACATGGGCGCGCAGTCGGCGAGCGAGCAGGCCGACTACGCGAAGCTGATCTCGTCGAAGCTGGCGAGCAAGCCGGTCGTGAGCCGGGACAAGCCCGAGGGTACGTCTTCGTCGAACTCGGTGAAGATGGTGATCAAGAACGGGGTGCTGATGCCGAAGCAGAAGCAGAGACGGTACAGGACCGAGAGGCCGTTCACCTGCGAGCACTGCTCCGCCAGGTTCACGCTGCGCAGCAACATGGAGAGGCACATCAAGCAACAGCACCCGCAGCACTGGAGCCAGAGACCCAGGGGCGGCCACTCGACCAGGGGCAGGCCACCCGCGAGTCACCCGACGCTGCTGCAGAACCTGACGCAACCCGCGTCCCAAGCGGCGCAGACGTACCCGAGCATACTGCCGAAGACGGAGCAGTCGAGCGAGTACACGGCGAAACACCCGATATCGGACCAGGTGAAGTACGCGATCCTGGCGCAGCAGCTGAAGGCCAACAAGGCCGAGGACAACGACTCCGAGGAGGAGCTGGTGATCGACGAGGATCCGCAGGACAAGGATCAGGATCCTCAGAAAGAGAAGACCACCAGTCTGCTCAGGGGTCAGCTGGAGGCTGCGGACCCGGTCGCGGAGGCCGGCAAGCCGGAGGCTGAAGAGGCTAAGGGCGACTCCACGAACACCGAGTCGGCGAACAGCGAGAACGCCAGCGACGAGGCTAAGCTGTCCGAATCGGAGCAGCCGACGGAGGCCAGCGAGGCCGGCGACGACGCGAAGACGCTGGCCAAAGCGGAGCCCGCCGAGGACAAGACGGAGAAGATGGAGGACGGCGCGACCGACTTGGCCAGCGTCTCGAAGCTGCTGGACAACGCGTCGCAGCAGTACCAGCAGTTCCAGCCGCAGTACCTCAGCGACGAGGAGGGCTTGGTGGCGTCCAACAGCGACTGCAACAACTCGGGCAGCGACGAGAAGTCGGACTCCGTGAACTCGGTGAACTCGGTCAGCAGTCCGTCGAAGAAGAAGCGCAAGAAGAAGAAGAAGTCCGCGTACTCGATGGCGCCGAACCGAGTGATCTGCCCGTACTGCGAGAGGCCGTTCCCGTGGACGTCCTCCCTGAGGAGGCACATCCTCACGCACACCGGCCAGAAGCCGTACCAGTGCGTCCACTGCTCGCTGCTGTTCACCACCAAGTCGAACTGCGACCGCCACCTGCTGAGGAAGCACAAGGCGAACCCGAACAAGGTGCGCAGGGTTCGCAACTCGTCGTCGCCGGACAGCCAGCCCGTGACGGGCGGCAGCAACAACTCGTTCTCGATGAGGAACGTACCCGAGCGGCCCTACAAGTGCAATCAGTGCCCCAGCTCGACCTTCTCCACGCTGGGCAACCTGAAGAAGCACCGCTCGACGAAGCACCCGCGCAAGGCGAAGTCGAGGCCAGACTCTCCGTCCAGCGAGCCGCAGAACAGCCCTCAGGAGTGCTCGAAGCAGAACGAGCAGACCGACTACGACAGCCAGTCGTCGAGCATCTCCGAGGGCATCGAGGCGACGATGCCCGCGCTGGCCAAGACCACGCCCAACACCTCGTCGTCCGCCAATGACACGTCCAGGTCTAGACGGCTGTCGCCGAGGTCGTCGCCGGGGCCCAGCGACGTGCCGTTCAAGTGTCATCTCTGCGACTGCGGATTCTCCGAGCGGCAGGAATGCCTGGAGCACATCAAGGCGAACCACAAGAGGTCCTACGAGATGCTGGTGGCCAAGGGCGCGTTGGATATGGACATCGATGCTGTGGAGGACCAGCAGCAGCCGCCACCGTCGCAGAATCCCAGCGACGGCGAAGAGAAGAGAGGACGCTTCCCTGACTACAGTAACAGAAAGGTGAATGTCTTTAGGTGTCGTGATATTTGGTAACACGTTCACTTACGATGTCGTGACAGACTTGTGACGATCATTTTCAACTGAAGAGATCTATGCGTTTATCTTTTGAGATGGATTAAGTGTTACTTGTCTATTGTCAATCTTTATGTTTTGGAGTAGGAAGCATGAAAATGCTTTTCCTAATAAATTGTTGAAGGACTGATCATAGTTGAAAAGTGAATAGAGTATGGTTAACAGGTTGAATGTGGTCACCGGTGAATCAACCGAATCGGATTACTGTAGTTTGCTCAGTTAAACTGTGATTATTTGAAAAGATTTGTATATGTGATATGATAATGGCATGATAATGACACTGCAATTCAATCAAATGTTAATATTTTCCTCTGAAATCGTGCGGCATTCAACCTGTTAAATATCTGATTAATTTCATTTGCATATACAAAATATATCGCCACAAATATGTCACTCCAGTAGCGAACGCGTTAATCGAATATATTCTACACGATTAAGCTCGAGCGTGAAATTCAAAAACTCTTCCTGCATTCCCAGGTGGTCTGTGCTTTCTGCATGAGGAGATTCTGGTCTGCAGAGGACCTGCGCCGGCACATGAGAACGCACACCGGCGAGCGGCCGTTCTCCTGCGACATCTGCTGCAGAAGGTTCACGCTGAAGCACAGCATGCTTCGGCACAGGAAGAAGCACGAGTCGGTCGACTCCACCATGTACGTAGGTACCAGCGGCGACGAGGAAAACTCGCCTATCCAACCGCCCACCATAACCCCAAGAAGCCAACAGCAACCGCCCGTTCTAGTGGCGGCGAACTCTGGGAACCTGAGGGCGCAGGACAGGATCTCGCTGCCGACCGTCGCCCCGGTCGCAACAGGAGACGCTGGTCCCGGCGGTCTGATGAGGTTCAACCCCTACGAGAAGCTGACGACCTTGACCGGAAAGCTCGCCAGCATCCCGCAGAACGTGAACCCCGAGACCAGTGAGAGCGCCGACAACGACCTGATCTCGAACCTCCTCGGGATAAGGGACAAGAATTTCATCGACCGCGTGCTCCAGGCGTCCGCCGACGACGCGGCGAAGCTTCTCGGAGTGAAACGCAGCCACGAGTAAGGCCGCACTCGACCGCTGCCCCGGACATTACACGACCGTGCCTTAAACTGCTCGCCTCCAGCGCCAGAGGTTGATCAACCGCGCGACTCGGTTGATCCTTGGATCGTTGGCCCGAGATCTAAGAGAGCAGATAGTCTTAAGTAAAAGGAAATATGTAAATATACCCGTGACCCACGCTGCTCCGTATTGGGTCGTTTTAGTTGATTTTAATCTCGCGGAGACTCGTTTTTACTCTAGACGTAAGGATATGTATATATTATTTATCCATATTTATTTAGTGACGTAGTCTTCATTGTTACTCGGTTCTGCGTTATGGTAATCGTATCAACGAATCGTGTCCCTTAGAGTCGAGTCTGTTAGGCTAGTTTCAACCGTATTCTCTATGTCTGGACAGTAAGTACCGTTCGATGATACGTTTGACCAACGCGACGAGAATCGCGTCGATAATGAAAAGTACGTCACCAGTTCGTCGAATATTTAACAACGAATCACGGAAAAGATCTCATCGGGTTCCCGCGTAATGTAAATAGCGTGCTGAGCGAGAACGAGTTCGGTTCGGATGTGTCAGCGACGAAGCGTCAACTGCGTAGCCGATAATCGTTTTCAACGGTTCGCTCTCCGTCGGTAATTTCGAAACGTGCTAGTGTATATAAACTGCGTCTACTTCTGTATGTATCTTTCATCTCTCTATCTGTATATATCTCTATCTCTATTCCGCGTGGTGTACATATTAATATTATTCGCGAGCGAGCGAGCGAGCAGAGACAAAACGACGGACGAAGAGGACAGACGAGACTGCGTCGACGGTTCGAACCATGAAGAGGAGCGTCAAAATGGACAGCACGTACACAACATTCAGACAATATTCTGCTTTCCTCCATCGGTTCGCGCCGATAAAACCCAAAGATACATTTTACACAATAAATTATGTTAGCCATATACGTAAATACTATTTATTGTTCGTCGTGTATTTAAAACCAGAGATCTCGAGCCGAGGGACAGGGCGGGACCCGATCGGTACGCGTCGCGTTCTGCTCTCTCGGCCGGGAACGTGTTAAGTCAAAACTGCTAAGAAGGAAACATCGATGATAATACGCAAAACATAGAGCAATATAGAAAATTTATGATATACAAAATATATATATACATTCGATTTATATTCCGTCGCGTATAGATATACTTGTATATAGATAGCCTAATTGAACACTTGAGTAGGTCTATGTTTCGCGTCGTGCATAGTCCGTGTTAAGACGGTATTTAACTGCAATTGTACCAAATAGTCGAGCCTCGGTTCCCTTGTAATTGCGAAATCGAACCGAGCCGATAAAACGTTTCTATTTCCTATACAACCTCTCTCTCTCTCTACTTTCTTTCAATATTTCCTAATTCCTTCTATTTTCGTGCAATTTCTTCGTTCACCCTTGTAATTCTCTATCCGATATTTTCCTTTGATCTTCGATTCTCCTCTAGATCCTTCTCTATCTTTATCTCTGTCTCTATCCTTTTATCTCTGCGTCTTTATTACTGTTACGTTTCTCTGTATAAACTCACTGTATTTATTGTTTTATAATAAAAAAACCGACTGTGCAGAAATCGTCGCAGGTTCATATGAAATTGAGTTTTCAAGTTTACTCGGGGTGACTTTCAACGGTGCTCGAGGCTTTCCAAAATACCCACAATTTTTCTTTTTAGATTACCCGGACTAGAAACAATAACATTCGCTTGGGGTGACTTTTTTTGACTATTGACTATTTTTTAGAGAACCTAGGCTCCAAACAAAAATTCATTTCAAGGATCTTATGGGAATATTCGTCGAGAAGTTGGAATTATTTTCTGGGCAAACTGGCGGGGTAATTGCCCCCATAATTTTGAGGTTAACGGCGTTTCAGGGTCACGTATAGGCGATCCGATGTCTTATCGATCGCGACACAAACACGACCGGACAGACCCGACCACGCTAAACGTGATCGCGCCCATGCGAACGAATAGAAATAGGAAATATTCGAAAACCGGAATTCGATGATTGTGCTCGATATTACACGTAAACGAGGTCGCGCAAATGTTTGGATATTTTTGTTGCTTGGATTGTTCATTAACCAAACGGAACGTATATTTTGAAAAAGAGAAATCTAAACGCAAATTATTCGCCATCTTTTAACACTAGAATTAGGTCAAAATGACTTATCTCTGATTTCTTATAATTACTGAAAAGGTAGATACTTCTATGAAGAATCAAAAAAATTTGTCTGAATCTCTGTTCTCGTGAGATCATTAATGCGGATTGCAAGGTCCGCGCGAAAAAATTAATCTCCTGAATTCGACAGTAATTTTAGATATTAGAACATGACTAATTAAGAGTTTTCCTACTTGAGTCACTCTGAAGGAAGAAATGCTGTTTCAGACCTTGTGCGACGTCGTTGGATCAGGACGTGTCTATGACACGCCTGAAGAGAAATGTGAAGAATATAAAATGATCTATTTATTAGAGACAACCACGTTTGGATCTTTGAAGTGACGACTATTTCCTTCTTGAAGCCAATTAACCCTTTGCACTAGGAAGTATTTCGTTGGAAATACTTAACATTCTCTAACTAGACAAAGATGATATTTTCTGTAATTAACACAGAGAGAAATCATAAGCAAATTGGGAAGCTTTTTTTATCCCAATATTTCACACGCTGATGCATTATACAATGTTAAATATCAAATTTTATATGAGTGCAAAGGGTTAAATGAGTTTAAGGTATGAAGTAATCATTGCGACCCACGTGTACATGATTATATATCCTGACATAAACTTCGCCTATGGATAAGAATATAATATAATATAATAAGAAGACCTGCGTACGACTTATCATTAGCAAAAGACCAATCGAACCAATTAAACACATTCATCGATGCATACAAAAAGAAGTCTAACCAACTTCACAGCTTGATATAAATAGAACAAGACATCCACAATTATCCCATTTCCATAGTTTTATTTCCCGTCAAATGTTATAATATTTCACTAATAGTAACGTCCAGTAAATAATGTCAATTAAAATAATAAATTATTAGGAGCAACCAAGCGCGTATCGCTATGTACATATAAATATTACACGTTTCACTAATCTGCGTTCTACTTGTAAAACACGCTATCGACTGAATAGCGTCGAATGCCGATATAAGAAAGACTCGCTTATATTTTTCATCTCCCTTGAATTTTTTTTCCTGTAAACCTTTGCACTTCCGTTCTCCGGCTCGCTGCTCACGCGTAAAACGACGCGCGCGCGTAACACCGTCGTGGAGCGGGCGGCGAACTTCGTGTGTCTATTGTTCGCTTCGACGTTCGTCTGAATAGATTTGTACCGCTGTCGCGATTATACAAACGTGTGCGTTTAACGAGAAAGAGACACTTAACTATTAAATGACCAAACAACATCGACGCTCGTACGGAGCTTTCTATTAAAAGGATCTCAATCTTAAACGTTCCAAGTTAGCAACGAGTATTTCAGTTAAAACATCATCATAGAACTTCCTTAATCGCCCCCTTTGTATCGCGAACAACGTACGGAAGTATTGGTCACAGTTTCAGAAAACACGAACAGTGTATATATATATATCATATTATTTATATATATATATCTCTATATATATGTGTGTGTGTCAATTAAACGCACTTAAACATAATACGAAATACGTGTACTCGGAAGTAACGACAGAACAAGTTGCCAGACGCTAAAAATTAATCGAAATGGAGGACAAACACTTAGGCCCAGCTATCAAGAATGGGAATTATTGCAGTAGGGGTCTGACATCTCATTCAATGCTGCGCGAATCATTACTATTCTAAACTAAGTTTAAAAACTTCTCTTTCTTTTTGAACACATTGAATGCCATGGGGGCAACCGGTGACACTCGCCCCAGTGAAATGACTGTAATTCCCACAATTAAACAGTGATCACTAAAAAAACATTCCTGTAACGTTACACAATGCACTGACATTCGGCAAGTCTCTTGCGACAATTAAACAGTTTAATATTGTATTCTTTTCATTTCACATATTCTGCACTTTGAAATCGTGCGGCATTCAACATGTTAATTGCGAAGACCGTCCCAAATTCGACAGTTATAACACGGTTTTGAGAACGGTCTTCGTGTTTACAGGCCCACTGGGATTTTCTATCTCACCAGGTCATCATTTTCAAGTACACGTCTCTCTCTCTCTCTCTTGAAAGATCTACTCGGAATCTCTATCAACGTGTTACAAACGATTCTAAATAAATCATCTTAAGTACATAACGTTAGACGTACTACGACAATGGAAAAAACCCATGATGTGCATGCATCTACGCGTAGGTCGGAAGTATGATACAACGTTAGTCGCTGAAGCACTGACCTCGAGGAAAGGACTACGCGCGTACATACGCTCGATTAAAATGGGACAAGCGGACAAAACATGAAGCGACCACGAAATTACTACTACACATATTTACACGTATTGCGCAGCGTTCTCTGACTTCTGACGATAAAAGCGAATTACCGAACTTTTCTGTTACATTTTCATATCCTCCTCCTCCCCTTTTGACTGCATATGATTTCTTGTTTCCATTATT